ATTTAAGCATGATTTCCTTTAATTTCTTGAACATATTTAGAATGACTAGTTTGAAGTCTTTTTGTTGTTGTTGTGCTCTCAAGGCAGTTTCCACTGATTTTTGTTTTTCCTCCTGTGTGTGGGTCAGTTTCCCGTTTCTTTGCATGTCTTGTAATTTTCATTGAAAACTGGGCATTTTAGAAAATATAATCTGGCATCTTTGGGCACTGGCATCCTTTTGTCCAGGCTTGTCTATCTGTTTAGTGACTGCCTGCATTATTTAGTGTTTTAGGGTAAAAAAAACCTCAAAGTTTAGTAAAGCAAAAAGAAACGTTTTATTTGGCATATATTCAAAGACGCAAAAGTGGGAAACAGACAAGCACGCTGTCAGAGCCTTGTCTGCTAGAGTCCAAGGAATGCTACAGAATCATCAGTATATATTAACATCACAAATGAGCAAAACTATTGAAAGCTTCACCTTTTCACAAATTGGCTAGAAACTGCTCAATCTCTGTAATTTTACATTTTGAATTGTCTTTCTTAACCATCATTGGTATAGTCAGGAGGGTCTTCATTGGTCCAGCAAATCTTACTATTCATCAAATGCTAATAGAAAAAGATAAGAGCGAAAGGTCTGTGGCTCTTTTGTGCTGTTTTATGAGTTGTTTATGTGAAAGTTTCCCTAAAAGATGTTTTCCAGGATTGTCCTAGCTATTGTCTTTACACTTCAGGGCCCAGCTGATGTGTCCTTGTGAGTCCAGCTCCAGCTGGGTCACATTTTAGGATAGGGAATAATGGCTCCAGTATTATCTCCTAAATCATTAGTGAAGTATTTTCTGTCTCACACACACACACACCCAGTGTGCTTGAAGCCTCTGATGTTGCTCCTTGGAGGTTGAAGCCTTGAGCATGTGCACAGTCACCCTGGGATGACAGCAGTTTTGTAAGGGCGTTCTTTATCCTGTTCCCAGACCTCACCCAGCTGTTAAGGCCTAATTGCTGGATGATCGCTCTACTGTTTTCAACAATGCCCTGGGACAGAAATTGGGACTGTTGCAATTAAATTTTAACTCCTTTACAGGAATAGTTTTTCAAGTCAATATTTGAGATTTGTTTTGATCCTAGGAAGGCTCTTCTTGGCTGGTTCTGCTAGGGAAACTAACTGACCCATGGCTAGCTCATTTCTGTAAGGGATCTGTCTTTTTAACTGCGTTCCACCACACACATACCACCACCACCCCCATTGCTTTGAGAGTGCCCTTAGTCTTGAACTTCCCCATACACTGTTGCAAAGGAAGTCAGTTCTTTTGGAAGAGAGTCCGAGCTCTGTATTTTGTCCTGGTTGAAATCTCTGAGCCAGTGGTCTGGAGCTGTGAGCACGGACATTAGTGCCCTTCTCTTGGAGTGACACTGCTGCTTTGGAGCTGGGTGCTTCATGGAGGGGTGGCTGCAGCCCCTGGTTGTCTCAGTTGCCTCTCCTGTGTGGTACCTTCGCTTTATGAACAAGTTGGGGCTCAGGTGATCTGGGCCCCAGGATTCTCAGTGTGTCACACTGAGGTAGATCCTTTGTTTCATGAAATGGGTAGGGTGGGAGAAGGGGGTTCCCACCTCTCAGCCATGCTCATCAAGACCTTAGTCTCTGTAAATAGGTAGTTGGGGCAAGATGAAAAATGCTGATGCCCTTCCTCCTCCTTGGAAGATTCCATAGCCCTCCACCTGCCATCTGAGGGAAGAGGGAGCCCTGTGTTCTGGCTGTACTCATCTGGAGTGGAGTTTCTGTCACACTGAGCTGGAAGCAGGTTGTAATTTCAGACACTCCAGCAGTTCTCATTGAACTGTTGTAGGCTTTATTAAATGTTTTTTCATTTGCTATGTCCTGCCAGGATGCTTTCCAGAGACTTTAAATGGTTGTGAAGATATACACAACAAAACATATATAAATTCAGCAATTTCCGCACGTATGATTCAGTGACTTTGATTACATTTTTCAAGTTGTGCAAGCATTCTTGGTATCTTTTTCCAGATGATTTTACTGCTATTCACATAAACTCAGGAGTTAATTGTTCAGCTACTCACCGAAAGGTTGATGGCTCAAACCCATCCAGAGGTACTTTGGAAGGCAGGCCTGGCGATCTGGTTCTGAAAGATCACAGCCTTGAAAACGCTCTGGAGCAGTTCTTCTCTGCACGCATGGGATCATCATGAGTCACAATCAAAATAGCACCTGACACCAACAAACCTAAACTCACTGACCCCAAGCAAAAACTCTTTCCCCCTCCCCTCCCACCCCTGGTAACCACTAATAATTTTTGGATTCTGTATATTTGCTTATTTCATATAAGTGAGATGATACAGTATTTGCCCTTTTGTGCTTGACTAATTTCGCTCAGCATTATGTTTTCAAGGTTTATCCATTTTGTGGCATTCATCAGGACTTCATTTCTCTTTATGGCAGAGTAATATTCCACCGTTTGTGTATACTACATTTTGTTATTTATTCATCTGTTGATGGACAGTTTGGTTGTTTCCACCTTTTGGCTATTGTGAAAAGTGCTGCAGTGAACATGGGTGTATAGGTTTCTGTGTTGTGGTGTTCCACCCATGCTAGGAGGAGGAGGATACTGTGTTGGCCAATGAGGAAAAGTTGCTAGGTAAGGATAAGGAGTTGGTTTGTATCCTGATTGTGAATCTTTAGCTTGTTTCCTAATGGGTCTGCATGAGATCTCTTCATTTTTTCCCCAAGTAATAGAGAAAATGTATAAAGAAAAAAAGGAAAAGTGGGAGAAGAGGGTAGAAACAGCAGGTAGCGATGACTTTCCAAACTGTCATGTCCGTAAGGAGCTCAGGGCTCAGGGTGGTTGGTGGAGGTGGACTCCCCACCCCCCCCACAAAGTGTTTCTTTTTTTTTTTTTTTTCCTGGAATGGCTTCTTAAACACATGACCTTTATAATGATGACAGGGAGATTTGCCCATGCTCCCACCTCTGAGAAAGTCACCTGGCGCTTAGTATAAATCCTTCCAGACAGAGAGGGTCATGCTCTGACAGTTCCACAACACACCCCTTACTTTGCCAGTTGCAAGATATGTCCTGTTTTAATGGCCTCACAGTGGTGCTTTTAATGTATCGTTTACTTAACCACATCTCCGCTGAAGGACATGGAGGGGGTTTCAGTTTTTCACCACTGCACAAAGCGTTCGTGCATGCTCCAGTTCCTCAGTTTAGGAGCAGTTCCTGGGAGGAATTGCTGAGACAAATGCTTGCTTTTGATAAATTCTGTCAAAATGCTTTCCAGAAGATTTGTAAGTGGTTGACCCTCCCAGTAGTGTCAGCCTTGCCATTACTGGGTGTCGTCCTTCACCTATGGAATCCTGTGGGTTAAAAAGAAATATATTATTTTAGTATACTGTTTGATGCTTGTATTTCCGCTTTTCTATCCTACCTATTGAACGTAAAGGGTCCCTGGGTGGCACCAACAGTTAAGTGCTTCACTACAAATCAAAAGGTTGGTGGTTCATACCTACCCAGATGCACCTCAGAAGAAAGACCTGGCAATCGGCTTACAGAAGGTCATGACCTTGAAAACCCTATGGAGCAGTTCTACTCTGACACACATGGGGTCGGAATAGACTTGAGAACTGATTTGGGTTTTTTTGTATTGAACACAAAGAGCTCCGCATGTATTTGACAGTTAACTCCTTGTCACAGGTTATACATTTGGCTTTTAGTAGCTTCTTAATTTGTTAATCATTTATAGTGTTTATGCAGAATCAAATGCCTGCAGTACAAGCTATAAATATGGGTGTGTGTGTATCTCTAATCAATCGCATAGTCAACCACGGTGTAGAAAGATGGTGCATTTAAACAAAGACCAGGTTCCATGCTTGTAGGAGCTGCTGTGCACTTGGACCCAAGGCCTCGCCCATCTCAGGGCCGTTCTGCGCAGGCTGTATTCACTGTTGCTTCTTGGTTCCTTGCAATATTCGGGGTGGGAGCCCAGGGTAGAGGTGGGAGGTTACGGAGCTGAGGACCCTGCGGGGGGGCTTGGGGGTGAGTCTGCGGGCCTGGGCCAACAGCAGACCCTGCAGCCCACCTGCTCTGTTCACAGCTCATGATGGAGCAGTCCAAGAAGTCCTCGCTCATGGTGGCTCGTAGCATCCTCAACAACAAGCTCATCAGCAGGAAGCTGGAGCGCTACCTGAAGGTGAAGCCCTGGGGTCCTGCCTGGGGGGTCGGGCCGGCTGCAGCCCCTTCCCCGCCCTCCCTTCCCCACGCCAGGCCCTCCGGCCCTCCTCGACCCCTTCCCCGAACCCGGTTCCTCCACCCTCACGGCCACCGCCTTCCCACAGGGCGAGAACCCCTTCACCGACAGCCCCGAGGAAGACAAGGAGCCGGAGGAGGGCGAGGCCAGCGTCCCAGATGAAGGGGCGCCGGGAGAGGCCGCGGCCGCCGAGGGGCCGCCCCAGCCGCCAGTGCCACCGGAGCCCGAGGCCGCCGCGCCGCCGCCGCCGCCCCCTGAGGAGGAAGAGGAGGCCGTGCCGCTGCTGGGCGGGGCGCTGCAGCGCCAGATCCGCGGTATCCCGGGCCTAGATGTGGAGGACGATGAGGAGGGCGGCGGGGGCGCCCCGTGACCGCGCCGGCGAGACGCATACTGAGCCCAATAAAGTGCTTCCCTGTATGCCCGCCTCCGTACTCTGTGTGTACGCTGCCACTGGCGAGGGGAGGGAGGCGGACTCGGGGTGCCCAGAGCGCGCGGAAAGAGGAGGGAGCGCACGGGGGAGGGGGGAAGGAGGAGGTATGCGCCTGCGCACTGGGCTCGGCCGTGGCCCGGCTGACGATCCGGGGACGTGCGGCTTACGCGGGTCCACACCAATCCTGAGGCGGTCTGGGGCCCGCGGGGGCGGGTCTGCCGTGCAAGCGAGCCAATGGTAGCCCACCGGCTAAGTGACGTGTGCGCCTGGTGGCCTATTAGCGGGCGGCGGGTGGTGCGTTGAGCGCATGAGCGCTGCAGCGGCCTACAAAAGGGGGCTGCCGGCGGCCCGAGGTGAAGACATGGAGCCGGGCTACGGAGGTGGGTCTTGGCGACGTGGCGGGTGGGCGGGCCCAAGCCCCACAGACCCCGCAGCCTCCGCGCAGGGTGCCGCGGGCTGGGACGCCGGATGAGCGCGGTACGGCGGCCCGGCCTGCGGGGAGGTAGAGGGGCGCACGCGGTTCGTTAGGCCGCGCCGCCGTCGCTCCCGGGCGTGCAGATTGGCTGGCAGGCAGAGGCGGGCGGGCTCTCCGTTCGGCTCGGCCGCTCGGCGCCCACGGCGGCCGAGGACGCCGCAAGCAAGATGGCGCCGGGGCATGCGGGGGGCACGGGCGCACGTGTCCCGGGGGGTGACCTGGGGGCGGCGGGGGCCGACTTGGCGGCTACGGCTCCGTCCGGGGGTCCGAGGGGCAAGGGCCCAACCCCCCAGCCCCGGCGGGTCCCGCTGGTCGCCGCTTTCTTTCCTGCCGGGCCCTTTGACCCGTTATCCCGCCCCTGGGCTGCTCCTCGCGCCGTTAGTTGAAGAGGCTTCTTCCCACTTGCCTGCTGAGGCCTCGTCAGGCCGGGTCGGCGGTTTGCGGCCTTCCGAGCCTGCTCTGGCCTGGCACCTCCCGCTCCTCATTTCCCGTGCTCTCTGGATCGGCCAGGGTCCTGGTCTTGTTGCGGTCCAGTCCCAGTTCTTGGACAAGCGGCGTGACCTTTACGAGCTTCAGTTTCTTTTATCTTCCCCGGGGGGCGGTGCTGAACGGAGTGTGCGCCGCACAATCAGGGTCAGTGCTCGCGGCCTCATCAGTCACTTCTGTTAGAATCTGGGTCCCAGACCTGGAAGGCGCGGTGTGACCTTGGGGTCAAGTCCTCAGTCTCTGAACGTCATTCGGTGACAACTACCGTTTGCTGCACACAATAGGCACAGTAGTTTTCGGGAAAGGAAGTGAATAAAATTGTGGAGCGTGTGCTGTGGTGAAGAGCACACAGTTGCCACTCTCCGCTCAGGGGTGTGACTTGCTGTCCTGGGGGTGGGGGAGGAAGGGAGTCATCAGAGAGAAAAGCGCCAGGGTGAGGCCCTGGGACTGGAGGGGGGGCCCCCCCCGGGGCTCAGAGCGAGCACCGAGTGTCCAAAGCCTGAAGCCGTGGTGAAAGTGACACCTAGGGTGGTATTTAATGATGACTCCCATTTTCGAGGTTTGCTCCCAGGTGTCCAGCACTGATCAGGTTTCCCAGCTGCACAAGGGGTGGGCCAAGCCAGGCACCGATGTGTCTGAGTTCAGATGCTGGGCTAGCTGGTAGCTTGTCCTGTGTCACTCTTGGGGGTTAAGATTAGAGGGTTGAAGTCCTCATCAGAGGTCACTCAGCAGTGAGGGACAGAGCTGACTTACACGCCCATCCTGTGCCCCTTTTTTTCTGCTTTGACCTCTGTCAGCCCGGGTGTGATGATGACTTTTGGGGGGTCAGTGTTTGCAAAATTAGATTACTCGGCCTTCTGTCTGGCTGCCACTGAACTCTGGTGAGCACGTGTTCCTGGTGTGGCAGATAGGACCTGAGCATATGATGTTTTCCTTCCGCAGGCTATGGGGCATGGAGTGCTGGACCTGCCAACACCCAGGGTAAGTGGTCCCACTGGGTGGGCGAGGTGTTGGCCCCATATTTCCCTCCCACACCCGAGGCTCTAGCACAGCAGAGCCACAAGGGGTGCTGTACCTGGGATGCAGGGGTAGACCAGGGGTCAGCAAACCTTTTCAATAAAGGGCCAGGTAGTAAATATCATTGGCTTTGCAAGCCAGATGGTCTCTAGTGCGAAAGCCACCATAGGCAGTACATTAAAGAGTGGATAGGACTGTGTGCCAATAATACTTGTGAACCAAAAACCAGTCACTGTTGACTCCGACTCATGAAACAGGATTTTCCAGAAGTGGATCACCAGGCCTTTCTTTTGAGGCACCTCTAGGTACACGTAAACTTCTACCCTTTCAGAGCAGCTGAGCGTATTAACTCTGCGCCATCCAAGGATTCCTGTTTATGTGTTGTGAGATACTTCTTTTTTGTCAGTTTTTCACATTTTATTTACAGTAAACAGTAGATGGTATAATCGCAGATTCAGTTTTGTAACCAATAGACTGTTACTTAGTACGACTTTAGAGTCAACAGAATGATTGAGCAGATCGTAGATAGAGACTTGTACTGCTACTCTTGGCAATGTCTCCTAGTAACATCTTGTGTTGATGTGATATGTTCCTTAAAAGGAGGGAGCCAATACTGATAAACTTGTTATTAACCACTGTTGGTAGTATACATTAAGGATTAGTTTTTGTGTTGTACAGTGTTGAGTTTTTGTTTTTTTATTGTAAATGTATATGGGTTCCACCTCAACATAAAACAAAAATCCTCACAACTGGACCAGTAAGCGACACCATGATAAATGGAGAAAAGATTGAAGTTGTCAAGGATTTCATTTTACCTGGATCCACAATCAACGCCCATGGAAGCAGCAGTCAAGAAATCAAAACAATGCATTGCATTGGGCAAATCTGCTGCAAAAGATTCCTTTAAAAGTGTTAAAAAGCAGAGATGTCACCTTGAAAACTAAGGTGTGCCTGATTCAAGGCATGGTGTTTTCAGTCACCTGATATGCATGTGAAAGCTGGATGATGAATAAGGAAGACCAAAGAAGAATTGATGCTTTTGAATTATGGTGTTGGGGATGAATATTGAAAAATGGACTGCCAGAAGAACAAGCAAATCCATCCTGGAAGAAGTACCACCAAAATGCTCCTTAGAAGGGAGGATGACAAGACTTCATCTTACCTACTTTGGATGTATTATCAGGAGGGACCAGTCCCTGGAGTAGGACAGCATGTTTGGTAAAGTAGAGGGTCAGCACAAAAGAGGAAGACCCTCAACGAGATGTATTGACACAGTGGCTGCAACAGTGGGCTCAAACGTAGCAACAATTGTGAGGATGGTGCACAGTACCAGGCAGTATTTTCTTCTGTTGTGCATAGGGTCCCTGTGAATTGGAACCAACTCGACGGCACCTAACAAGAATAACAAATATGCGTGTAACAAATCTTTTGCTTTCTCAGCATTCTTCACAAGTACAGTCCTGTGACATTAGTTACATTTATCATGTTATTCAGCCATCACCATTTACTGTTTCTAAAGTTTCTCATCCTTTTGACAGGAGCTTGGTGTCCCCTAAGCAGTGAATCCCCTTTTTTACCTTTTGCCTGTCCCTGGTAACCATTAATCAGCTCTGACTTTTGATAAATGCATAAATGGCATGTCTCATATCAAAATTCACATGTCATTTTTTTCCCACCATTAAAAAATGTAAAAACCATTTTTGGTTCCCTGCCCAAGGGTATAAATTGGAATCCATGGCAGGACCAGGTTTTTTGGTTTTTGGCTTTTGGCACCTATCCTCAGGAATGCCATTCCTCTGATTTCTGAGCCTGGGGACTTGTCGCAGAGGTCATGGTGGGTCCCTCTCCTGTTCCTGCCAGGTCCCAGGAGAGGGCTTTAAGTGCTGCTTACAGCCACGATGTTCACTTGCCCAGTTGCTTTGGGAGTCTAGTTTATTGTTGGTGTCACTCTCAGTACCATTGGCAGAGCTCTGGTTCCTAGTGACAACTGGCTCTGCAGGGAGGTTAGGCCTGCTGGCTCTTTGTAGGCCGGTCTGCAGCGGGTAAGCCTTTTGGAAAGTGCAGGGTCCTTCTATTTGCCCCGATATGGGAAACAGGGCTTGCCTAGGAGAGAAGGCTTAGTTACACCTGCCAAGTGGCCTGTGAGAGGTAAATAAGCTTATGAGCCCCAGGCTTTTCTAGCCATTCTGAGAGTCCTTGACAGGCAGCCAGCCGCTTGCACCTGGGGGTCAGTGCCTGCATTCTCGGGGGAAAGCTAATGTGTGTTTCTGCTTCCTCCTAGGTGCATACGGAGCTGGTGTGGCCAGCTGGCAAGGTAGGCCCTGCTAGGGGTTGGAGCAGACTGGTGGGTGGGCCCCCTAACCAGCCCCTAAAGGGTAGGCCCTTCTAGGGGTCCTGAGCTGGTGGTGGGGTCCTCTGATCAGCCTTTACAGCCTCTGCAGGACACTTCTGAGTTTTGGGACAGGTGGGCCAGTGGGCCCTCTGATCAGCCCCCTAGAGGGACAGGTATGCAGGTGCCCCTGTCCTTGCCGGATTCACAGTTCTGCTGAAGGCTGGCAGGTTAGTCCTTAAAGGAGGTTTGCTGTAGCTCGTGGGGCTGCATTCCTGAGGAAACGGGGGCCAGGCTGCTCTTCTGAGGAGGCCGTGCCTGGGGCAGGCCTTGAGAAGACTGGAAGTCAGTGGTTTTGTCATGGGTGTGGCAGCTCTGGGGTGGATCCTGGCCCTCGGCTACCTCTGGCTTTGGATGGGGCCACAGTCCTCAAGGTCTGGCAGAGAGAGAAATCATCAGTAGTGGCTGAAAGCCACCGCCCAGAGCCGGGGTTCCCTTCCTTCCCTGGGTGCAGCCTGTGCTTTGCAAGGTCAGGGCACCTCGTTCTCCGTGGCTGCTGCCACCTGATGGGGCTCCTTCTCCCCTGCCAGGTTATGAGAACTACAATTATTATGGATCCCAGAACTCCAGCGTGAGTGCCGGAGCGACATACAACTACGCCCCGGCCTCGTGGGAGGCTGCCAAGACCAGCGATGGCGGCCTGGCAGCTGGTGGCCCTGCCATGCATATGGTCTCCTATGGCCCAGACCCGGGCCCCGACAACTCAGACTCCCTCATTGCCAAGATCAACCAGCGCCTGGACATGCTGTCCAAGGAAGGAAGCAGGGGGAGTGGTGGCAGTGGGGAGGGCACACAGGACCGCGAGAGGTGATTATGACACCTGCCCTGCCCGAGGCCCCGGGGTGAGACCTCCTCCAGGTGCCTCTCCCTCCCATCCCTCTTCTGCTTGGAGAAACGAGTGGGCCCGTTGGTGAGGCCTGGCTGCTGGCTGACCTGCCCCATCTCCTCATTTTTGCGTCCGGTGTCCTAATAGGCCCATGCCCCTCACTTAGTGACTTTGAAGGGCAGTTGGGCTGGGGTTGTTTTCTGAGCCTGCCAGTAGAAACGGGTGGTTGGTTTGCTGTTTTGAAGGCAAGGAGTCCGCTTTGCAGGGGGCTGTGCCAAGCTCACAGGGTGGGCGTCCTGGGCTGAGCAGGGGCCCTGGGGTGGGCATCCTGGGGCCAGCACAGCCCCTGAGCTGTCCTGTTTGCCCCACAGCTCCTTCCGCTTCCAGCCTTTCGAGTCCTACGACTCCAGAGCCTGCCTCCCTGACCACAACCCCTACCACTCTGGCTACGGCTACGACTACGACCCGGGCACAGACCGCAGCGGCAGCTTTGGCAGCCAGTATGGCGACCCCCGGGACCTGGGCCGTGAGCGGGGCACCCTCGACGGCTTTGTGCGGGGCCGGGGCCAGGGCCGCTTCCAGGACCGGGGCAGCCCTGGCACCTTCATGCGCAGTGACCCCTTCTTGCCACCGCCCCCGGCCCCCTCGGAGCCCCTGTCTGCTCCCTGGGGCGAGCTGAACTATGGGGCCGGGCGGGGCCTGGGCGGCCCCTCCCCCAGCAGACCACTGCCACCGCAGCCGCCGCCCCTCTTCTCCCAGCCCCTGGCCCCTGACTTTAGCATGATGGGCATGCAGGGGGCGGGCAGCTTCAGCAGTGCCGTGCCATACAGCTGTGGCCACACGCAGGCCCGGATCAGGGACCGGGTAGGTAAGCCCTCTCCATGCCCCAACACAGCTCTGTTGAGGTAAAGGTGCAGTCGATTAAGTGCTTGAGTATTAACTGAAAGGTTGACAATTCAGACCCACCCAGTGGTGCCTCGGAAGAAAGGCCTGGCAATCTTTCGAAAGGTCATAGCCTTGGAAACCCTATTGAGCAATTTTATCCTGCGACACATGGGGTTGCTGTGAGTCAGAATTGACTTGACAACAACTGGTTTGATTTTTTGTTTTCTTATTTTTTTAATTGAGATAAAATTGATGTAACACAATTCTCTAGTTTTGAGTGTACAGTTCTGTGATTTTCAGTAAATTTACAGGCTCCTGCAACCATCACCACAATCTAATTTTAGACGTTTCCATCATGCCAAAAGGAAGCCCCATGCCCAGTAGCAGTATTTACCATCCCCATCCCCCAAGCCCTAGGCAGCCACTTTCTGTGTCGATGAATTTGCCCGTTCTAAACGCTTCACGTAAATGGGATTATAACCCTTGTAGTCTCTAGTGCATGATGGTTTTGAGTTTCTAGTTTATTGTCTTTGCTTTTTGGAAAGACTTCCTGTGTTTGTTCATTGGTCCAGCAACTTTTGTGTTCTCTGTTCCCTCAGCATGCTTTAGCGGTCAAGTAAGTGGATATGTGGGTTTGTGTTTCAGCCCCGGTGGCGAGGGTTTGAGCGCTCTGGCCCTGATGGCCCAGGCAGGAAGCGGCGGCTGCTACAGGCTTACGAGGAGCCAGATGCCAAGCAGCCCCGGGTGGACAGCGAGGGAGACTATTCTGACAACGGTACACCCGGGAGCTGGGAGGGTGTGACGGCATCAGGTGCCTGCCCTGGCTGTGTGTGGTGGGTTTCCTGTGGCCCTTGCTGGAGTCAGAATGGGCACCAGCCCTCCAGACAGTGAGCTCGGGTAGGTGGGAGCCAGACCGAGCAGCTGCAGGGAATGGGCTACTGGTGGGGCTGACTTCTTCCTGTCCTTTGCGTCCAGCAGATGATGGACCTGGTGACTTCCGGTCAGGAGACGAAGAATTCAGGGGTGTAAGTCAGCCTCTACCTGTCTGCCCTCTGTGTCCAGTGCAGGGTTTCCTTCCTTTTTCAGCAACCTTCCCTGCTAGGGTCAGGGGCAGCCACTCTGGGGGACTCAGTTCCATCCTTGGAGTGAGTTAGCCTGCCTGGCAGTCAGGCATCCGTGAACAGTGAGAGCAGAGGTGGGGAGGCTGGGACTGACTGGCAGCCAGGTCTGTGCAAGGCGCCAACCCATGTCCACCTGTGTGTTCCCCACAGCAGTCTTGGGGGATAGGCGTTTGAGCGGTTTTCAGCCAGGACTACATGTGAGCCCCACAGAGCCCTTGCAGATTTTGACCTAGATGCCTCGGAGGGCAGGTGGACTTGGGGGAGGCAGAGGCAGGCAGTAGTGAGTTTTCAGCTTTTCTGGAGGTCTGTCCTGCTCCTGCGTGCTGGCGTACACCTCGTGTGCAGAACCTCTGAGTCCTACCCAGTTGCTGACTTAGCGTGGCACTTGGTGCCTGGGGGATTCTGCACTGCTAGGTGTTCAGTCCAGGGAGCTGCTCTTTTTAGGCCTGATTTGTCAAGATGTCCCGTGAACATAGACAAGCATTAGGGAAATGTGGTGCATTGCAACTTTCTAGAAAGAACTTTGGAGCTAATGTTCTACAAGCTGGGGTTTCTTTTTTGTTACTGAGTTCATACTGATGTTTCCAACTCTAATCACACGGATGATTTTCACCTTCTCCCATTGTTTGTCTGTCCCGTCCCACTCCCAACAGTGAGAAACCTAGGCAGAATTCCTCAATGGGTGCTTTATGGGTGGGCAAAATTGGGCAGATTTACGATGGTGGGGGCAGTGCCTTAGGTTTAAACTTCTTCTAGAGAGTCAGTGATTTAAGACAGAATCAGTTGTCTCCACAGTCTCTGGTGGCAGCCAGGGGTAGTGACAGGATACACACAGTCCCCAGGGCTCTTAGGGCTCGTCCTGGGACTGCATGGAGTGGTCTTATTCCAGTGGGTAGTGGGGAGCTGGGCTGGTGGTGGAGAGTTCTGGAAGGCGCCCCCTCACTGCTTGGCTTTGTGTGCCCTTTTCCAGGAGGATGAGTTCGGCGAGCTCGGGAGGCAGAGAGGTAGGCATCGTCCACTGGGCTCCTTTTGACTCCCTGTTTGCCCACCTGCCCCACACTCACCACCCAGTGGCTCCCAGCTGGCCTGGGCTGCGATGGGGCCGCGGGTGCGTACCCTGAGGCTCTGCTCCAACCTGGGAGCAGCACCGGCTGGAGTTGGTCTATCTGTCTCACTAGTACAGATGGCCCCTGTCTCTGGTGCCTACGGCAGCTCGCTGTGCCAGGAAAGGAGTTCTCGGAAATATGAGCAAGAGGAGGCTCGCTCCCACCCATCCCCTCTGTCCCCTTCGACCAGTGCAGGCCCCATGCCATTTTCTCCCAGGCTTCAGTCTCCCCACACTCTCCTGGCTACTGGCCCAGGGCCACGCTCTTGGCTTCTGTAAATGGTAGCACCATGGCTGGGAGAGCCGGCTGAGAACCAGCATCTGCATTGCAAACCTGTACACCCAAAGGCATGAGCCAGCATGGGGACCCTTGCCCAGGTCAGGGACCAGGGAAGGCACCTGGTAGGAATCAAAGAATATTTGGGGCTGTGGCATCTGCTGTGCCCGGGCCCAAGTCCTTGGATGCAGTCATGACTGCAGAAGACCCAAGAGTCCAAAGTTGGCCTCCAGGCCAGTCCCAGGTTACACCCTTCAGGGCATGTGGAGGAGCGGCCTGAGACCCGCTAGATCAAGCTCACCTAGCAGCCGATTGTTTCTCTTCTTGTTTCCACGGGCCCCCCCGAGAGTCATCTTCAGTTTCCACTGGGCTCTGCTCCCCTGAGTCTTCCCTGAGGGTCCCCTCTCAAGACTCTCCTTCTCTTGTTTCCAGGCTTAGCTGGCCCCTGAGGCCCCCTCGCCCTGCTCATTGCCACTGCCAGGCATGTGGCGAGGGGCCACGCAGGGCGCTTAGCAGTGTACACGCTGGCGAGTGCTAAAGCAAAGGTGACGTGTCTGTTGCGCACAGGTCCTACTGCCTACGGGACGACCTTGCTCTTGACCTTGCTCTTAAGCAGCAGTCCTAGTTTCAGGCAGCGGCCTCTTGCCAAAAGCCCCCACGCCCTGTGAGAGGCTCCCGAGAGTGCACGCCGGTCGCCATCGTCGTGGGACAGGCTTGCGGCGGGCACAGGGGTAGGGGCCACAGTTCAGATGCTTCTTGGTCCTTTCCGCAGAGTCCAGCCCCGGCCAGGCCCCCTGGACACCCCGGGCATGGACGGGAGGACCTACTGGTCTTTTCCCACTCTCGTTTCCAGGAATGCTTCCCGCCAGCTCTGGGCAAGGCCCAGACTGGCAGTGTCTGTGCACGGAGGGTAGAGCTGGGCCAGCACGGACTCAGACCTGCTGCAGCCCTAGTTGAGAGCAAGGCCGGCAGGATGGCCGCCAGGCCCACCTGGAGGCAGCGGCGAGCGGCTTGCCTTCCTCCCGGCCGATGCTGCCGCCTCATCAGGAGAGGGCTGCGTCGCTCCCTCCTAAATGACGGTGGGCCAAGACCCACGACGGAGCCTTAGACTGAGAGCAGGACGGGGCAGGTCAGGGAGCCAGCAGAGGGCTGTAGGACGGGCGGGGCCGTGTCCTCTTGCCTGGCCGTGAGGGTGTGAGGTGACCCCCAGGAGCTCCTGAGGGTTCTTCTCCCAGGCCCGCCCCATTGGGAGTCTGCTCCAGCCCCATGGTGTTGGGAGCACTGAGCTGGCCGGGCGTGTGGAGGCCAAGCGGTGGCCCCACCCAGGCCCATTTTTCAGCTCTTCTCAGGGCTCCGCAGGCTTCTCGAAGGAAATTCTCTGTTACAGGCGAGAAGGATGATGAGGATGAGGAGGTGAAAAAGCGGAGGGAGAAGCAGAGGAGGAGAGATCGGATGCGGGACCGAGCAGCTGACAGGTGAGGGGGCTCCCAGTGCCTGTTGAGAGAAAGTTATCTGGGAGGTGTCAGGGCCCAGGCCTGGAGAACTCAGCGGGGCCTCTGGGAGCCTCAGTCACGTCTGAGAGGCGTCACCACCTTGACTGTTCCCTTAGTGGCCCTTTGCACCAAAGACAGACTGTGACCGTGTTGCTCAGTGACTCATCTTGCTGAGACACCTGTGAGGTCTCCATCCCATTCTCTGGTACTGCAGGAGCAATCAAAAGTCTTGGTCAAGAGGCTACTGTCCACTCAGTCCCGGCCAAAGGAGGTGGCTGCTGACCCTGCCTCACCACGCTGTTCGCCTTCCTCCTGCAGGATCCAGTTTGCCTGTTCTGTGTGCAAGTTCCGCAGCTTTGAGGACGAGGAGATCCAGAAGCACCTGCAGAGCAAATTTCACAAGGAGACTCTGCGGTTCATCAGCACCAAGCTGCCTGACAGGACGGTCGAGTTCCTCCAGGTGAGGGGCCCGGCTCAGGGTGATCTCAGCTCCAGGCACTTGTGTGGCCTCAGGTCCCTTGGGGGTGTGGGGGTAGGAGGGTATGAGGCCTGCACTTGGTCAGTCACTTTTCCGAGAATAAAAAAAAAACAGCTGCTCAGGTCCCACAGGTTTGGGGAGGGGGCAGTGTGAGACCTGCACGTGGTCAGGGACACTTTCTCCAGAAGCAGCAGCTACACACTGCACAGGTCTCCCTGTGTCACAGTGAACCGGGCCAGGTCTCCAGCCACCCTTAGCCCACCAGTTCTGTCCTCTTCCCCGTCTGCTGGGGTGGGTGCCCCCTCTGGTGCATTTGAGGGTTCAACATGCCATCCTCTCATCCCTTCAGGAATACATCGTGAACAGGAACAAGAAGATAGAGAAGCGACGTCAGGAGATGATGGAGAAGGAGAGCACGAAACCAAAATCAGACCCTTTCAAAGGTGAGTGAGCGGTCCTGGGTAAGACTGGTGCACTGTCCCGGCAGGCTTGGGCACAGGTGGCTCATACACCTGAGTGGGTGAGCGGCAGTGGGAAGAGAACCAGAGGTGCTGGGCACACAGGTCACAGCGCTGCAGGCCACTTGGCACTTGATTGAAGGGAAGAAAAGGGAAGGAGCAGAACAGTTGAATTTCGACGCTCTTGGCATAAGGGCTGTTCTGACACCATGCCCCTGGGGATGGTGGACCGAGCTTGTCCTGGTCTGTCTGAGCTGAGTCAGTAGAGAGGGCCAGGGGGAGAGAAGAGGGCCTGGCTGGTGAAGAGGAGGAGGAAGGCTTCATGCGGTGCTGTCCTGCCTCCATGGCACTGTGTCTGCCTGCAGGGATTGGCCAGGAGCACTTCTTCAAGCGGATTGAGGCTGCCCACTGCCTGGCTTGTGACATGCTTATACCTGCTCAGCACCAGCTGCTGCAGCGGCACCTCCACTCCCCAGACCACAACCACAACCGCCGAGTGAGTGCCCACCCATGTGGGGTGGGGGTTTCTGGAACCTTCTGGGACAGTTGGGGTGAATGCCCCATCTCCAGGGGCTCTTGCCATGTTTCATTGGTTGATGCTGAGAAGCATGCCAATTCCCAAGCTGTTAAACTGATGAAATGTGTTGCTTAGAACTGGTTAAAACACAGTGGCTGGAAAGCTGCTGGTGCGAGTATGTGCCCTGTGAACCCCAGGTGGTCTTAGCCATCTCTGCAAAGGCTGACCTGGGGACTGAGGTGTAGCACAGCCAGTTGGTCCTTCTGCCCTTGGTGCCACTTTTAAAACCCACATTTGATTTCTTTTCGCAGTTGGCTGCTGAGCAGTTCAAGAAAACAAGTCTTCACGTGGCCAAGAGCGTTCTGAACAACCGACATATAGTGAAGATGCTGGAAAAATACCTCAGGGTTTGTGTTTAGAAAGCTAGTGTAATGGCTTTTGTAATAGGGTGAACTCTATGCAGACAGGGTTGTGCCCACTTCTCTTGAGTCTTGTGAGGAATCTAGGGCCTGGAAATGTGACAGCTAGTGCTTGCCCAGGGAATCTGGGGACATCTCAGGACATCTCTGGATGGATGTCCCAGGGACATGGTGCCACACGATGCACCTGTGTGCTGCTTTTCTCCACGGGAAACCCTGAGGAGACAGTGGAGAGATGGTAGATGCTAATTGTCCAGGAAAGAAGCTAAAAGTAGGGCTCGCTGGAGGCAGCAGGGCAATGAGGTGGAGGCACAAGGGAGAGGGAAGAGCCAACGGGTCTCAACAGTGAAGTGATCAAAGGTGCCAAAGAGGCGCCATGGAGAGAAACGTGCTCAGACAAGCCAGCTCCTCTTGGGGAGTCCCATTTTGTTAGGTGCTCATCCTTGTGACTTTACCACCTGGGGCGGGCTGATGGCTAAGCTGCCTGGAGCCCAACTTCAGGGCCTGTTTTTCCTTCTCAGTTAGTAAATGCTTCAATGTTTGATCGTTCATTCTATTTATCCAGACTCACTGTGGTCCTATGTGTCAGTAGAACTGTGCTCCATAGGGTTTCTAAGGGCTGAGTTTTCAGAAGTAGATCACCAGGTCTTTCTTCTGAGGTGCCTGTGGGTAGACTTGAACCTCCAACCTTTTCATTACCAGTTACTAAATGACATTAGCCATTTGCATCTTCCAGGGACTCCATTAAACTATCTATTAGGGTTTTTTGTTTCCGTGTTTGTTTAAAGGTAAGGCCCTGATGAATCATAGTTCTTAAATTGGGATCAGATCTAACAAACTTAAGTTAGTACGATTCATTCATGTTTTACCTTTGACATTTAAAAAAAACTGAAAGTTTCTGGGGTCAGGTGTCGATTTTAGCTTCTAAATAGGGTTTTTTGTTTGTTTCTGCTATTTCAACAGTGTAGCTTTTGTGTGTGTGTATATATATGTATTGTTGAGAATATACACAACAGGGCATACACCAGTTCAACAGTTTCTACATGTACAATTCAGTAATATTGATTACATTCTTCGAGTTGTGCAACCATTCCCACCCACTAACAGAAACTCACTTGCCCCTAAAGTTTGCTATCTAATCTTTTGAGTTGCTGTTGTCAGTTTGATTCTATATAGATAGATCTTAAAAGAGCACAATGCTCAAGGCAAACATTCCTTATAAACAGCAGATTTTAAAACATGTTTCCTAATCTGGTGGTGATAATAGTTTACTTTTTCTAAACTGGAGAGTTTAGGTTTGAAGCCAGACCCCCATATTTAATTAGCCTTGTGGCCTTCATCAAGTTGCTAGCCCTTGAACCTCAGCCCCTTGCCTGGGAACCGGGGACAGGCCTCATGCACGTGGGGCTGGAATCTAAGATGGCCTGAAATTCCACTTACAGAGTATCTAAATTTGGATTAAGAAATCCTAGGTCTTCTTGCACTTTTCCTCAAGGTTATGTGCATGAATAAAAAAAAGTGCAAGACAGTTCTGGGGGAACTTTTCCAAATGAGATGTCTTCTCTGGGTCTGCAGGCTCTCAGGGCTATAGAGTTCAGGCAGCTGGTGTAGTTTAAAGACGTGTTTCTCTACCAACTCTACCCTTCATAGAAACACGGCCCTCAGCAGCCTGGCCTCGTTCCTCTACCCAAGTGTCCCGGGCTCTCTGTTGGACACTTTTGTCACCTGCAATGACTTTGTGTTCCCTCTTTGGCCAGGGTGAGGACCCTTTCACCAGTGAAGCTGTTGACCCAGAAGCTGAAGGGGAGGACAATTTAGGAGGTGAAGATAAGGAGGAGACAGCTGAGGAGGTAGCTGCGGAGGTCCTAGCTGAGGTGATCACAGCGGCGGTGAGGGCCGTGGATGGGGACAGAGCCCCAGCTCCAGAGAGCAGTGAGGTGCCGGCTGCTGTGGAAGGCCTTGCAGACACATCCGAGGCCAGTGGAGACCCCCTCCCTGAACAGCTGTCAGCCAGTGGGACATCCTGTGGAACAACCGAGAAGGGGAACACAGATGCGGAAGCTGGAAATGGGGCTGCAGAGGGCACAAGTAGAGCTGCTGAGGCCCTGGAAGCGGAAGCATCTGCAGCAGAGGCATACAGCACTGGAACAGGCCTTGTTCCTGGCCGAGATACCATGGAAGGCGAAGTGGAACAGACTGATGCAGAGTCCAAAGATGTTCTTCCCATGGAATAACCCGTTTCCCCCCGTGCAGGGACTTTTGTATCATGCATTGCTCCTCCTTCTCTGGCTTGTAAGCAGTACTAGGGTGTCTGTGACTGCAATATGCTGTAAACTTACTGTGGTGAAGAGACCCCGCCCTTTCCTGCCAGAGAGTATACCTCTCGGGCTGACCTGGGGACCCTTGCTGCCAGTGTCCTGTCCTGGAAGGATGGAGGCTGCAGGGATCCTACATTCCCACAGGAGGCTCGGCAGCTCCCCCTGGCAGTCAGGTGATAGATCTTGGTGATCCTTGAACTGGTGAATACAGCCACTGGCTGAATCCACCCACCCATGCACCCCTACCCCCCAGCTTTTTTTTCTTTTTTGTCTGGGAGCGGCTCCACACTGGGAACGTATCTTGCTTTATAAAGGTTTTTTTTTTTCTTCTTCTTTTAAATTTTAAGTATCTGCTTTGGCTTCAGTGTTTAACCTCTGCTCTGTGGTGTACCACTTGTTAACCTGGGATGTCATCTGTCGCATCACGAGCCTCAGGCTCAGTGGGTTTGACAGACCTTTCCCACTTGTCCTGAGGAAGGCATAACACATACTGAACTAGCTTTGCTTGGGGTGGGTTTTTTAGTCGGCAGACCTGGGTAAATACCTTCACAATTTTTACCTTACCTGTGTTCCACCACTACCCTCTTTAGTATTTTGGGGTTTTCTTTCTTTCTTTTTCTTTAATTACTTCCATTTGAAAGTACTTAAAAAGAAAACTTGGTGTCACTACCACACATGGAAAACCAATACAAGTTGCCCTAGATAGATGTGATTTTTAAACAGTGAACATACTGAAGTGAAAATGCCCTGTTAGTGAAACAGTCTTCCTTTGGAGGTTTCCGAGTCTGGAAGAGGGAGGCTGACAGGTGTGAAAGGGAAGCACACAGCAGCTCTACTTTCATAGAACCAGAAGAATGGGAAGATCCTGCCTGTGTGTACTTGCCTGCAAACCTTTCACCTGCTGTATGCCTCACATTTTGGGAAACATTGGCCGTTGGGAAATGATGGGAAAACAGGCAGTGCAGTAAAATATTTGATGAGCATCTACTGTGTACCAGGTGCTCATTTGTGATATAAGTGTCAGACACAGGCCCTGCCCTCAGGGAGCCTCCTCACAGACGCAAGTTAAATATATGTGAAAAAGTCAATATGAGAGAAGCAAGAAAATGGTGCTCCTGAACGATTTCTGCTCTTCATTCCTTAATGCTGCATTGATGGGCTTAATCACAGGTCAAACATGCCCTCTGAAGCTTGTTCTCCAAAAGCAAAGATGTTGATGGCATCAAACATTAGCAGGCTGAAAAGGGTGAGATGGGACTATTTTTTGTGTTTTGGGGTTTTTTTGTTTTGGTGTAAAAATAAAGGCCTGGCATTAAATTTAAGTTTTAATGAGGTACTTTCCCATCTGTGTGAAACTACCTGACTCATTTTATTCCCGTATTTAGGGGAAATGAGCCCTTCACTCCCCAGGATGTGTTGCACAAATGGGATGCCCTTAAATTTCCTGAAACAACAGGAATAAATTGCACATTCCCTTGTTTGAAGGGGATGAGAGCCTTGGTGGCACAGTGAGTAAGTGCTTGGCTGCTAACCAAAATGGTGGTTTGAACCCACCATCTGCTCTGCAGGAGAAAGATGTGGCAGTCGGCTTCCCTCAACATTTACAGCCTTAGAAACCCTATGGGGTGGTTCTACTTGTCCTGTAGGGTTGCTGTTAAGTTGGAATTGATGACAGTGGATTTGGTTTCTTGGTTGTTTGTTGTTAGGTGCCATCGAGTTGGTTCCTACTCATAGCAACCCTATGTACAACAACGAAACTGCCTCATCCTGTGCCATCCTCATAATTGTTGTGCTTGAGCCCATTGTTGCAGCCACTGTGTCAGTCCGTCTCCTTGAGGGTCTTCCTCTTTTTTGCTGACCCTCCACTTTACCAGGCATGATGCCTCTTCCAGGGACTGATCCCTCCTGATAACCTGTCCAAAGTAGGTGAGACAAAGTCTCAACATCCTTGCTCGTAAGGAGCATTTTGGCTGTACTTCTTCCAAGATGGATTTGTTTGTTCTTTGGCAGTCCATGGTATATTAAATATTCTTCGTCAACACCGTAATGCAAAGGCATCAATTCTTCAGTCTTCCTTATTCATTGTCCAGCTTTCACATGCGTAAGAGGCGACTGAAAACGCCATGGCTTGGGTCAGGCACACCTTAGTCTTCAAGGTGACTTCTTTGCTTTTCAGTACTTGAAAAGAGGTCTTTTGCAGCAGATTTGCCCAGTGAAATGCCTCATTTGATTTCTTGACTGTTGCTTCCATGGGTATTGATTGTGGATCCAAATAAACTGAAATCCATGATAACTTTAATCTTTTCTCCATTTATCATGATGTAAGTGCTTCAAGTCCACTTTCAGCAAGCAAGGTTGTGTCATCTGCATAATGCAGGTTGTTAATGAGTCTCCCTCAAATCCTGATGCCCCATTCTTCATATAGTCCCCCTTCTCAGATTATTTGCTCAGCAGACAGATTGAATAAGTGTGGTGAAAGGATACGACCCTGATGCACACCTAGCTAACTAAAGCATGCAGTATAAGCTTGTTCTCTTTGAACGACTGCCTCTTTACCAGTTCTGCATGAGCACAATTAAGTGTTCTGGAATTCCCATCCTTCACAATGTTATCCATAGTTATGATTCACACTGTTAAATGCCTTTAAATAGTCAATAAAATACAGGTAAACATCTTTCTGATACGCTCTGCTTTCAGCCAGGATCCATCTGACATCAGCAATAATATCCTTGGTTCCACGTCCTCTTCTGAATCCAGCTTTAATTTCTGGCAGTTCCCTGTTGATGTAGTGCTGTAGCCACTTGGAATAATCTTCAGTAAAATTTTACTTGTGTGTGATAGTAATGCTATTGTTTGATAATTTCCACATTTGGTTGGATCACCTTTCTTTGGAATAAGCATAAATATGAATCTCTTCCTGTCGGTTGGCCAGGCAGCTGTCTTCCAAATTTCTTGGCATAGGCTAGTGAGCACTTGCAGTGCCGCATCCATTTGTTGAAATATCTCAATTGGTATTCTGTCAATTCTTGAAGCCTTGTTTTTCAACAATGCCTTCAATGCAGCTTGGGACCTCTTCCTTCAGTACATCGGTTCCTCATCATATGCTACCTCCTGAAATAGTGGAACATCAACCAATTCTTTTTAGTATAGTAACTGTATTCCTTCCATCTTTTAATGCTTCCTGCATCATTTAATATTTTTCCCGTAGGATCCAGGATTGCAGCTCGAGGCTTAAATTTTTTCTCCAGTTCTTTCAGCTTGAGAAACGCTGAGCAGGTACTTCCCTTTTGGTTTTCTAAGTCCAGGTGTTTGCACATGTCATTATAATACTGTAACTGATCATTATTCCCATTTTGGTTGTTTAAGGGATGGGAACTAATATTGATCAGTTATTTCCTCCTATTTGTACAGCAGAAACGTCCCTGGGTGGCGCAGTTTGTACTCAACTATTAACCTAAAAGTTGGCAGTTCAAGCCCACTCAGTGGCACCACAGAAGAAAGGCCTGGTGATTTGCTTCTGTGCAGATTACAGCCAAGAAAATCCTATGGAGCAGTTCTACTCTGTAACACATGGAGTTGCCATGAGTCAGAATCGACTCAATGGCAATAGGTTTGGTTTGGTTTTGCGGAGGAGAAGGGGTGTGGGAAGGTTAGGGTCATGCATCAAAGATGGGGGACACCCAAGTTAATAGGGCTGTGAGCCACAGGTGGCCATGAACTTTCCACAAAGCACCTTTTGTTTAAAAACAGGCTTAAAGAATTTGGCAACCCCCACTATTCCTAACCAAAAAAATCCTAGGAACAGCAGCCTAATTTGTGCTTCAGGTAATCATGTTGTGGACCTATGTGGCTTCCTTGGACTTTCATGAAATCAGTACAGTTGCTAAAGGGGAAACAGTGTAATGGCAAAGCAGTCGGCAAAGTGCCCCTCGTCGATATTACTAAACCTCCAACTAGATTTTGGAGAGACCCTAAGGGAGTAATTCTGTCTGCCTGATAAAAAGTCCTTGCTCACTAGCAGTGGGTAGGTCGGCACAGCAGAGTTCTAGAAGAGCCTTTTGGCATTTTCTTAGGGCCTCTGGAGAGTATAGACGTGGCTGTCCCATTTTAACACTGAAGGAGCTGACAGCTCCAGGGATTACTGAGCCACCCCTTTGATTTTATACAAAGACACTGAGGCATAAATGACTCATTGGTTTTCCTCAATCACATTCATACTCTAGGTAAAAAAAATAAAAAGAAAAAAAAACACTTAACCATCAAGTTGATTCTGACTCATGGCAACCCCATATGTGTCAGAGTAGAATTGTGCTCCATAGGTGTCTTAGTTACCTAGTGCTGCTGTAACAAAAACACAAGCGGGTGGCTTTAACAAACTTATTTTCTCACAGTTTAGGAGGCTAGAAATCTGAATTCAGGGAGGTGGCTCTAGAGGAAGCCTCTTTCTGTCAGCTCTGGTGAAGGTCCTTGTTCCTTGGTGATCTTCATATGGCTTAACATCTCTTCCCCCAGCTCTGCTTCTCTGCATTGCTCCTTTAATCTCTTTTATATCTCAAGAGATTGATTAAGACACACCCTACACTAATACTGTCATTAACATAACAAAGAAAACACATTCCCAAATGAGATTATAACCACAGGTATAGGGGTTAGGATTTACAACACATGTTTTGGGGGAACACAGTTTAATTCATAACAGTAGGGTTTTCAATGGTTTTTTCTGTCACCAGAGAGCTTCTGGGTGGACTCCAGCCTCCAACCAGTCAAACACATTAACCTTTTGCACCACCCAAGGACTCCTCTCAAAAGTCTAGGAACCACCCTCAAAATATGCTCTTCTGAGTATACACTTTATATAGATGAGAAATGAGATGGACTTCTGTGTAGGGGATAGTATGGTGAGGTAGGGATTAATCCATCCCTGAGGTTTTCATGGTGGCATCTGCACTGCCCTGGAATCCAAGAATGAGAAGCAGGATCAGTTACGGGTCTGTTTGTGGTTACCAGGTGTGCTGTGGCCCTGGGGTGTCACTTAAGGTGAGTTTCCAGCATGAGAACAACATTCACACTTAATGGGGTTGTTCATCAGGATTAAGTGACAGCACAGACATCATGCATTTGACATTATTAGAAAAGTGGTTCACTAAAATAGTTACACCCTTGGTAGGAGGCCCCACGTTGTGCAAATGGTGAACACGTTTGGCGGCTAAACCAAAGGTTAGAGTTTTGAGTCCACCCAGGGAGTACTTTGGAAGAAAGGCATGGCAATCAACGTCCAAAAAATCAACCACTGAAAACCCAAAGGACACCCTGGCATTAATGGCATGAATCAAAACAACAGAAAATAGACTTCCAGGCAACATGGCCCTATAGACAGAAGCATCACGCCATCCCTCTACAGCAAAGATCCGAAAAACTAAGACACACATCAATCCTGAAACTCTAAGCATCAAATGAAGAGATGAAGAACTCAGTCAAGCACCGAATGGAATAAGAAACTGACAGAGAACAGAGAGCAAGGAGGGATACGTGCAGAGGTCCCCTATCAGCTAACACAGCATGGATTTGCCATGATGGACTCTGAGCGGAGATCAGAGAACAGGGTGTACAAGAAAGCAGTTTCACAGAGCTTCCAGCAGGAGACAGAACAACCGGTAACCAGTGATATATGCTTTCCCACCCCCCCACCTTTCTTCACCCCCACTCGGCCCGCTCTGCTTCCTGCAGCCACAGTCTCTTGGCCTGGAAGTACCAGCTTCACCCCGGAGCTGCTTGGATTCCACCTGCCCACTCTGGCCGGCTCCCTGAGTGCCATTTGTTGGCTGCTGGTGTTGCTTTTTTCTGCTGCTTTAGATTTCTTCTTTACCTCTCACGACCTCCCCTTCCTCTCTCTCAAATACCTGGCTCCGTGTCCCATCTTCACTTCTTCCTGAAAGGCTGAAACACGGCTCAACCGTGAAACTGCTTCCCAGCCCAAGCCGCCACGCTGGTGGTACCCCTGGGGCTTTTTGTTTGTTCTGTTTTGATTTGTTTGTTTGTTTTCTTTCTCGGCTTGGGAGCACCTTCTAGCCAGCCAGGCAGTACTATGCAGCTGGGGAGCTACTCCCTTACTCTGTGCACACGCGCAGTGGCATCCCTGTGGGTATTTCTTTTTTCTTGGTTTTTTGTTTGTTTATTTTGTTTTGGGGTTTTTTGTTTGTTTCTTTGCTTTCTTATCTCTCTTTTTCCCTTTTTGTCTTTCTTCATTTCTCAGTTTCTTGTCTCTATACTTACTTTCTCTTCCTGTCTCCTGAATACCTGGTGCTGTGTGACACCTCTACTCCTTCTAGCCAGGCTACACATCACAGCCTGGGAGCAACATCCCCGGTCCTCACAGTTGCACCAGTGGCATCCCTGAGGGCTTTTTTTTTTTTCCTGATTTTTTTTTTATTTTACCGTTTTTCTTTTATTTTCTCCATTTCTCAGTCTCTCATCTATCCACTCCAACAGCAAGCTCCCTTAGCACTCTTTTTTGTTTGTGTGTATGTTTTTGGCTCCTGTTTCTCTCTCCTCTCTCTCTCCTC